ATGCTGTGTCTTGATATTCAGTCAAGATTGTGATAGATTTTAGTTTGATGATTTTCTTTGCCTTAATTGTGCCCAAAGAGGGTATTATGGTCATTAGATAATGCTGTTCTGTGGTTTAGCCTTAGTATCCAAATGTCTAAAATTATTACTTTTCCTTTTAAATAATATAAAATATCATTAATCATTTTATTTAATCTTCTTTTTTTTCCCCATAAATCAATGCTATTGGTCACCCTTTATGTTCCCCCCCCCCCATTTCATGGTAAGTAGCGGTTTTGGACATTTGAGGTTTATGCCTGACAGCAACAATATAGAGCAGCATTACGTATTGTATTGCTATATCAGTGCAGCCAGATAAATGTGTGCATTTAAAGACAAATACTTGATCTAATATGCATTCACGTGTAAGATGCATATGTGCTACTTTTTGTGCTATTTCTTGTCCTTTCAGGCCTCCGGTCTTTACTTTTTCCTGTGATGTTTCTACCTCTCCATTCCTCTCCCCTTCCACACCTTGCTCGTTCTTCCATTTTAAGTATGGCAGGTTGCCATGGAAACCTCCTCCCCCACCCCCGCTCGCCCACTCCCAGCTGCTGCCGCTGCAGTATCTAAGATTCGTTGTTGTTGCCTGGCAACAAGTCACACAGTGTTTCCTAGCAACAGGACCGGAGGGGTCTGCCAATCCTGAACCTCTGTGCATCTCCAACCCCCGCATCCCCCCTCGTTTCTTCCAGCATCACTCTCATTCTATCATCCCTTTCCTCCTCTATTACTCGCCGTCTCTCTGCATCCCACATGCTTCATCTTTTAAATGACTCTCAGTATAGCATCCTCATATATCTCTCATATTCATCTGTGTCTCATTTTCCTGCTTGGCCTCTTTTCCGTTCCTCCTGTTCCCATGACCTCAACCGTGTTGTAATTTACAAGCACTAAACCAGCACTTACACAACACACCTGCGTTGCCTCAATAACACAACATTAGCCTGCTAATAATCACTATTTAGTTGGACAACTAGACTGGGTTTCAAAAGTCTATCAGATTTGCAGTGTGTAGTTCGTCCTTCTGCTTCACCTCTCTGCAGGTTGCTAATAAAGAATCAATGGATTTCTCTTTTTCCTCTCCTCTTTTATCGCTCTGTGCCTCTCTCGATCTGTCCCACTTACTCTATCCGTTTCTTCCCACTGTCTGATGTCATTCCAGTTCAGCTCTGCTCTATCAGCCTGTCAATATCTCCACCATCCACCACCCAGGAGACCCACCACTCTTGCTTCATTCCTCTAATGGCACATTAGATTGATCGTCCTCTGTCTATCTGGCTGATCTTTGAGGAGAAGCATATCTCAGTAATGCAAATTCAATAACCCCAAACAGGCCTCGTGCATCACAATATTTAGATACTTTGGTTCTGAACTTCAGCAGAGTTAATGAAAGATGCCATTTGAGCACAATGGGCACATACACACTAGAGGTAAATTGGGTTGTCAATTTACCTTTTAATGCTTAATCCTGTTCTGTACACACACAGGTCAGTAATTTACTGCCTTCTACAACTGAATCAACTCCTAAAAAAAATCAGGTAGTGACAAAAGCATTTACAGAAATTCTACTGGGGTGCATTTCCCAAAAGCATTGTTACACAGCGATTGTCTTAAAGCGTTAGTTTACCCAAAAATAAAAATTAGCCCATAAATTACTCACCCTCAAGTCATCCTAGGTGTATATGACTTTCTTCTTTCAGACGAATCCAGTCGGAGTTATATTAAAAATGGTCTTTGATCTGTCAAGCTGTTTAATGCCACTCAACGGGTGTTTCATGCATCAGTCCAAAAGAAGTTAAATAAAAAGTGCCCATCCATAAAAAAAAAGTGTCTCTCACGGGTCCGGGGGGTGAACAAAGGCCTTCTGTAGCGAATCGATGCATTTTTGTAAGAAAAATATCCATATTCAAAACGTAATAATCACGTTAATGTAGCTTGCGCCAACAGTTGTACACAGAAGCAGCTCCGGGCAGATGACGTATGAGTTCAGCGTTGCGCATGCGCCGGTGAGTCTCTTGAAAACCAACGTTTGTTAACAGGAGCAAAGGAAGCAAAGCTTCCTTACTTTAGCAAAGGAAAACCAGTCTCCTCTTGGCTTATATCGAAATCCTCCGACATTCTTCTTTACAAATCCTAGTTTTGTACTTCTAATAAGTGACCGTTGTTTTGTTTTGATCTCTCCG